ACGGAGAATATCTAATGGATACGTATCATTTCACCGACAATCACTTCACCGACATCTTAGTTCACCGACAATTAATTCATCAACAAGTTCATTTCACTGACAAGGTTTTTTATAAATTACACTAACCTTAACTCTAATTCTAGCCTGACCTTAACGACAATGACCAGAATTACTTTGCCTGTGAAATGAGCTGTCGGTGAATTAATTGTCGGTGAACTAAGATGTCGGTGAAGTGATTGTCGGTGAGCACCACTCATATCTAACCAGAATCCGGTTTTTATATTTAAAATTATTATTTTTAATTTACTGCAAATATAATCTTTTACATATTTAAAATACATATTAGATAAAAGAAGCACTTTTAACGGAAACATTAATATTACTGTAACTTTACAGGCGCGGTATACAATACCGTTCCCACTCTATGGATCCGAAATAGCTACAGCGAACGATTACTTTTCTTATCGCCACCTTGGTCTTTGTTCTTCTTGTCTAGATCTTCTGAATTGTTCTAAGCTGTCACCATTGTCCCTATGAAAAAATATTTTCGGAAAAACATGGAAGCTGAACACGGAAACATACGTAAAAATACGTAAAAAATACGTAAAATGTACACTTTCCGTGTTTTTGGACAGGAAAACACACTGTAATTTCCGTGTTTTCTAAAACACGGAATGGCATTTTCCGTGTTTCAAAATACAGTGTTTTCCTGTTCAAAAAAACACGGAAAGTGTACATTTTACGTATTTTTTACATATTTTTACGTATGTTTCCGTGTTCAGCATCCATGTTTTTCCGTGTTTTTCAGAAAATATTTTTTCATAGGGTGTTAGAATTCATATGAAGGAAAAAACGGCGAATAATACGAGATGCACTTATATCACGATTTCAGAGAGTCTAAAAATAAAAATAAATAACGGTAAAACTTTGATTTATTTTTTTTATAAAAACTTCTATAAAAATTTTAGTAAAAACTTACAAACATATGTTCATGCATACTTTGAGTTGTCAATGTCGTGATGGTTCATCCATCTCTTATTACATTTTGAGCACACAATACTTGTTTGATATTCATCTATAAGCCAAACCTTTTGTCCTAACTTTCGTCTTAATTCGTAATATAAGCCTTTAACAGGTCCAGTTGCATGTCCTGAAAACTGTTTGAAAATCACCCATCACCAAATGCTACTATAGTGTGTGGATTATTATTGGTAATTCGTTTACAGAGGGTATCATAAGTAGAGATGTGCCTCTGGGTGGTCGATCAACTAATAAAATCAAACATATTTCGAGTCTCATTGATTTTTGTATAATGATAGATTTTTTAATCAAAAAATCATACCACGGTCTTTATATTAAAAGATTAGTAAAATACTTTTGGATATTTAATGCTCAATAATAAGTACTTTTTTTCAATCTTAAAGTCTTTTCGCTCTTTACTGCATTCTTAATAAAGTCACGCTTTCAGATTTTACATATCATAGTAAAATGTTCAATTAAAAAGTATATTTCTAATTGGTATATATAAAATATAATATAATTTTTTAAATCTCATATTATATAAATTAGATAAAACTATATGTAAAGTACAAATATTTTAATATAACTTTGTAAAAGAAGTATTAAGCATTCTTTTTACCAAGTTTGGTGTCAAATCATCGCGCAATTAAGGCAGAATAACCATTTAAATATTTTAGAACGCGTTTGCGGTCTCGCTTCGAATATAGTTTACTAAATATTGTTATACATAAATATGCGCATCATGCGCCTTATCACTGCATGGTGCGTAATCGTCATATATCATTATTTATGTAATTCGTAAAAAATTTGACTTTTTTTTTTTATACTGATAAATGATAACAAAAATCTGCAATATTGCA